ATTAGACTGGGTTCAAGTATAGGATACAGCATTCTTTGCGTATTTTAAGTGTGAGGGCCAGCATGCTTTTCAAACGTTTCAAGAGGTGGTGGGAAAGTGTATATATGGTGATGATCAGGAGGTTTGGCCAGTTCTGTAATGTGATTGCATTCATTGCTCCCAGGTTGAAAATGAAATGTTTCCCTAATTTGTGGAAGGGGAAATTGTGAGAGGAGCCAAGTTAATCTCTGGGTGCATATGTACTGGAGAATAACAGTAGTTGGGACCCACTTTAAATAACATTGCTCCATACTATGCAGTCCTGGGAGCTATAGTTTCCCAAAGTCCGCACCCTCCTCTGAGTGCATCTGCAGTGGAACATAAAAGCAGTTGTGACTTACTTTAAATAACATTGCTCCATACTATGCAGTCCTGGGAGTTATAGTTTACCAAGGTCTGCACCCTCCTCAGGGTGCATCTGCACTGGACAATAAAAGCAGCCGTGACCCACTTTAAATAACATAGTTCCAATCTTGTTGTATGCAGTACTGCTTACTCCTAGGAAAGTGCTTTATAGTGCTTGCATGTGTAAACTACAAGATAACTTCAAAGCATCTTCCAAAATGTATCTAAGAATTATTTTTCTTGCACTTTCCAATTGCTCTTGAAGTTGTGAAAGTTTTCCTAAGTCTGCTCCTCTAATCTTAAGATTTTTCTTCATTTTTCATAATAATGGAAAAAAAATACATCTTTTTTCTGTACTTTCAAAGGTGCATCATTGAACTATGAGTTTCTCCTTATCCATGTTTACCCAAAAAGCAAAGTTCAGTCTCCAAACTGCCAAATCTAAAACCATCCTGTAATTATTTTCAAGAGTTTTTTTGGGGGATGCTTTCTTTTATTACAGTGATCTTATTTCATTTTTATGAGCTGGATTTTGCAGCCTGTTAGAATGCTTTAAACAGGAACTGTTCCGATTCATATGAATAATGTTTGCAGTTGACGTGGAAATGTTGAGTGCACAGAATTTGCTATTGGCTTTTTCATCAAAATAGTAGCGAGCGCACATAAATCATGCTCGTTTTATATTGCTTGTATAAAGAGCTCTGTGGATATAATACCCTGGTCGCTATAGCTGCACTTGACGGTCTGATAATTCCTAAATATCCTTCTGTGCTGTTTTTTGGCCAACGAATCCAATTCTTTAGACAGCCACTGCAAACGTTAATATAAAATATTTGGTTGGAGATGGAACTGCCTTATGTACAGCGCAAATGCTGGTCTATTTGGCTCCAACTTGCACATTATATGGTACTCAATTAGTTCCCCTGTGATGTAGTAATAAATTTTGAAGTAGACTTGTACACGATGACATCTGCAATAGCCACTTCACCCAGGAGAATTGAAAAATGTAGACAACTGGAATTTTAGCAGCGGAGGGCTAACAGTTTTCAGGATAAACCCAACGTTAATCCTGTCTAAAGTAGACCCATTGTGGCCCTGCAGATGTTATTGGACTGTAGCTCTCATCAACCCTGTTCAACATAGTCAATTGTAGGAAAGCAGGGTATCACAGGCATTACCTACACTGCTATGTAGTGCAGTTTGAAACTATATTATATGATCGGTGTAAACTCATGTAACACAATTGAACTGCCTTATATGACTCTACCCTGACCATATAATGTAGTTATAGTCTAGCAGCATTTAAAGCAGTGTTTCTCATCCTTCCTCATGCTTCAATCCCTTAATACAGTTCCTCATGTTGTGGTGACCCTCAACCATAACATCATTTTTGTTGCTACTTCATAACTGTAATTTTGCTCTTGTTATGAATCGTAAGGTACATATCTGATGTGCAGGATATATTTTTATTCACTGGATGAAATTTGAAACAAATACCCGATACTCCCAAATCTGAATACTGGTGGGATTGGGATAGGATTGATTTTGTCATTTGGGATTTGAAGTTGCTGGGACTTATAGTTCACTTACAACCAAAGAGCATTCTACTCTTGGTACACAGACCAACTTGGTACACAGACCAACAGAAAATACTGGAAGGGTTTGGTGAGCATTGACCTTGAGTTTTGGAGTTGTAGTTCACCAACATCCAGAGAACACTGTGGACTCAAACAATGATAGATCTGGACCAAACTTGGCACAAACACTCAATCTGCCCAAATGTGAACACTGGTGGAGTTTGGGGGAAATAGACCTTGACATTTTGGAGTTGTCGTCTCTGGGATTTATAGTTCGCCTCCAGTCAAAGAGCATTCTACTCCTCTAGCAATGGAATTGAACCAAACTTGGCACACAGAACTCCCATGACCAACAGAAAATACTGGAAGGGTTTGGTAGGCACTGACCTTGAATTTTGGAGTTGTAGTTCACCTACATCCAGAGAGCACTGTGAAGTCAAGCAATGATGGATCTGGACCAAACTTGGCACAAATGCTCAACATGCCCAAATGTGAACACTGGTGTAGTTTGGGGAAAATAGACCTGTAGTTTGGGGAAAATAGACCTTGACATTTGGGAGTCGTAGTTGCTGGGATTTATAGTTGAGCTACAATCAAAGAGCATTCTGAACCCCACCAATGATAGAATTGGGCCAAACTTCCCACACAGAATCCCCATGACCAATAGAAAATACTGTCCCGACCCCCAGGTTGAGAAGCACTGATTTAGAGGGTAATAATAATAATAATCTTTATTTTTATTTTGCCCTGTTCAGAGTGAATTGCAACATATAAACAGATACAGGCAAACATTCAATGCCTTGTTACAATACAATGAGAGACACATATACAGACAAAGGCAAAGGCTTCTCCTTTCATTCCCGGCTTCTGGAGGTGGTGCTCATCTCTGGCTCTGAGAGAGGTGCTCTTCTCCATTTTCAAGCCAAGGAGCTTGTCTTGTCACCTCCTGGTTGTGTGGCTGGCATGACTGCTTGGAGTGTATTTTTCCTTTTCCCAACAAAGCAACACCTATTTATCTACTCACATTTGCATGTTTTCAAACTGCCGGGTTGGCAGGAGCTAGGGCTCACCCTGTTTCATGGATTCAAACTGCCAACCTTCAGCTCAGCAGTTCAGCCGTAGAAGGGTTTAACCCATTGCGTTACCATGGCCTCTTAGCCTTAAGGTGAATCTATCACAGGTTTTTCTTGGCAAAATTTGGGGTCTTTTTTGTGGGGAGGGGCTGATCTTACCTTCCTTTGTGGTTGAGAAAGTGTGATTTCCATGGTAAGTTTCCATAGTAGAGTGCCAATTCAAACCCTGGTTTTCCCACTATCCTAGGGCACATCTATACGTCAGAATTAATGAAGTTTGACACTACTTTAACTGCTTTAGTTCAATTCTAAGGAATCTGGGATTTGTAGTTTGGTGAACTACCAGTTCTTTAAAGCAGAGAAGCCTAAGGGCCTTGTAAAACCATAACTTCCTTAATTGCATAGCACTGAGCTATGGCAATTAAAGTGCTGTTCAGCTCCATTACTTTGACAGTGTAGATGTAATTCTAGTCAAAAACCCAAATGCTGGATGTCATAATTAATTGCAAACATGCTCTTCTTGAATGAAAACGTAAAATGTTATTATGCTTGCCACTTCCTAATCTCCACCACTTAAACAAGGACTCCATCTCCATGGACAGATAGCCCGTAGACAGGATTTTGATTCGGGGGATTTTGATTCGGGGGGGGGGGGTTGAGTTTGGTTGGGGAGGAGGCTGAGTATGAGTGAAAGAGGGTCTACCCTAGCAAACCTTTTGTATCATTACCCCCATATATATGGGATATATTGAGCATGGTGATCAGATCATGAAATGAATAAACATAACAATTTAAATAATGTACCAGTAAGGCCTTCTCGCGGACCACCATGAGAATTTCGGGGGGGGGAGGCTGAAGCCCCCCAAGCCCCCCCCCCCCCCCCCCAGCTACATGCCTGTCCATGGATGATACATTCTTGGATGGGCTGCAGTTACCAGAAACTGCAAATAATTAAGAATGTCATTAAAATGAGTGATTTCCGGTCCCAGCATACCACAGTACTGTGCAACAAGACCTAGATTAGTCTTCCAGTGCAATTTTATGATAACTTCTAGGGGAAGCATATAAAATCTCACTGGAGGATCTTGAAGATGCCTGGAGAAACCAGGCATGGGTAAGTGAAACCATAGATATCAATTATGTGGTTACTGGGTTCTTATTGCATTGTTACATTTTCCCTTTCTTTCTAGTATGCTGTGGGCAATTAAATCTTAAGGACAATCTTTTCTTCCATGGGCTGTCTTGCACTCTTTTCATCAATCCCTTCCATTTTTCTCAGTTGCCATCATGCCAAGACTTTTCTTTTAAAAAAACATTATCCCAGATTCTCTCTATCCACATTCTCATAATCTCACTTCCTTTCACTCTTTCAGCAATCACCAATTGTGCAAATGAGCTGTCCATCTGACCATCCCAGCTGTCAATCTGACTTCATACATTCCATTGACCTTGCATGGCATAGAATACCACAATGCAAAGAAACATGTCATAGTAGTACCTGCATAGCATTGCTGTATCCCTGCTGCATGGCTGGCCACAGGGATCAGAAACACTGAATTGATCGGTGCTTTGAATCTTTAATGTATAGTTGTCTACTATACTCTAAATTTGCATTATATTCTAAGATCCCAGTCACTATAGCTCCCTGCATTTTTCTATCCTGAAATACATTGTGCGTCTGATTGCAGAACTGCCATAATGGACCGTTATAGCCAATAAATGTTACTTTTTCAAAGCAGTAATTTAAAATGACAATATAAAGTGAGATTCAGAGGTCTTATGTTCACTGTTTCCAGCATTCACCATGCAAATATAATGCCCGTTGATACTGCAAAGCGTCTGCTTGTCTGTCTTCCATCACATGTTTTATAGCATACACAACTGGGGAATTTGGAAGGGCGCTTTGGCTCTCTGTGCATCTTGTGACAGAAAGGGGGAAAATCTAATGCATTTCTCTTTTATTTAGGTATCTAACTGGTTTGCCAATGCAAGGCGTCGCCTCAAAAACACTGTCCGGCAACCAGACCTCAGCTGGGCTTTACGAATAAAGTTGTACAACAAGTATGTTCAAGGAAATGCCGAAAGACTTAGTGTAAGCAGCGATGATTCATGTTCAGAAGGTTTGTTTTTAATATTCTTGTAATGTTGTCCCTGAAAAGCAAATAAAACTCAAAGCAGTATCTACTTTTCAAGAAGCTGCTAATTCTGCAGGTTGTATTTCTTTTTCTTGAGCAGTTTTCCCTGCTCTGTTACACATTCATGCGCCATACATACATTTTTTAAAAATTAAGCATTAAGAAGCAGCCTTTTGGAAATCTTACTTTATAAACAATTGCAGATGACAATGGGAATGGCTCCTGACTTATGCTCCAGGATTGTGTGATTTTAAATAACTGTTTTAATGCATATGTTTTACTACTTCATCACACTAGAGAATGAATCCACTTTAAATCCAGTTTCTGCCTCCTGCAGAATTCTGGGGTTTGTAGTCTAGTGAGGCTGTTAAAGGCTCCTCCCTAAACAACAAACCCCAGAATTCTGCAGGAAGCAGCAACTGAATTTAAAGTGGTTTCATTCTCTAGTATGATGAGGTCCTTAATGATGAGATTTTAATGTATATGTTGTTTTATGCTGATATGTGTAATATGGTTAAGGTTCTTAATTTATAGTGTATGTTATTGTCTAGAAATTTTGTTTTTGGTTTTCACATGTATGTACAGCATTGAATTTTCCCACTATTATGTTGGAAACCTCTTTGAGTCCCCTCAAGGGTGATAAAAGTGCTATATAAATGCAATAAATAAATAAATCTTGGACTATGATTTCTAGAATATTCCACCCAATATGCTCACTGGCCATGTAAGGGATTTATGGGAGCTGTACTCCAAGACAGTAACTTTTCCAAGTTGTGTGTACATAGGGCTTTTGAGGAAGACCACATACATATCTCCTGAGGCTGTATTTTCTCCATAAGACATCCTGGGTTGGGAACATGTTTTCTGAACAGCAGATAAGAAACATATTGCTGATGCTATTGCTACTGCTACTGCTGCTGCTGCTGCTGCTACTACTACTACTATTATTATTATTATTATTATTATTATTATTATTATTATTATTAATAGAGTTGGAAGAGACAGTTGTTGTTGTTGTTGTTGTTGTTGTTGTTGTTAAAAGGTAAAGGTTCTCCCTTGACATTAAGTCTAGTCTGTACTTGCCTTTGAATCAAAACTCTTTTTATGTCTGTAGGTACTCTATAATGGTATAGTCTTCATGTTTTGGAACTTGAAGTTGGTGTAATTTAAAGTGGGGAGCATGTAGCCTTCTAGAGCCCCTTTATCACCAGTATTGCTAATGGTAAGGGATGAGGGCACAGCCATACAATCTGAAATGTTCCCCATCTCTGGGGCCCCTCCCACATCCCACATCATCTGCTTGGAACTGGAATATATGGCATTGTGGCCTCAGGTAACCCAGTTCAAAGCAGATATTGTGGGTTATTCTGCTTTGATATTCTGGGTGATTACTATAAACATCACAAGTACATTATGGTGATTTGTTTGTTGCTCTTTACATTGGGTTGCTGTGAGTTTTCCAGGCTGTATAGCCATGTTCCAGAAGCATTCTCTCCTGACGTTTCACCCACATCTATGGCAGGCATCCACAGAGGTTGTGAGGTCTGTTGGAAATTAGGCAAGTGAGGTTTTTATATCTGTGCAATGTTCAGGGTGGGAGAAAGAACTCTTATCTGCTTGAGGCAAGTGTGAATGCTGCAATTGGCCACCTTGATTAGCATTGAACGGCCATTCAAACCTCACTTGTCTAGTTTCCAACAGACCTCACAACCTCTGAGGATGCCTGCCATAGATGTGGGTGAAAGGTCAGGAGAGATTGCATCTGGAACATAGCCATATAGCCCGGAAAACCCACAGCAATCCAGTGATTCCAGCCATGAAAGCCTTCGACAATGCTCTTTACATTGTTTGTTACTGTTTACCTCATTCTTTTGGAGGTAAAATCCATCAAAATAACTAAGAAAGCAGCCTAAGATCTGAAAAAGAAATCCTCTCAAAATGTTGCACCAAGTCTTGTGTCCACTAAAAGTAACATTAAAGAGTTATATATACACTTTACTTGTTATATGGGGCAATAAATGTTACCAGTGGTTACATGGTTTTGCCAAAGGATCATTAATATGTCATTACAAAAAATAATATGTTCTACATGACATGACTTTATATCATAATGAATCAGGATCCCCTTGTACCAGGGGCAAAGTGCCAACAAGGCTCCTGCATTTAATCATTGGATGCCAGACTAGACGTAGATTCCAGTGATTCCAAAATGATATACACCGTATGATATATCTTAACATCTGTTTTCATGAACTGCCTATCAGCTAAAATAGTATACAAACCACTTTGTGTCCTTCATAGTGAGATTTTAAAAGATGTCAGAGGAAAAATCTCCCTCCCTTACATTTAGAGCAGGCATGGGCAAACTTTGGCCCTCTGGGTGTTTTGGACTTCAACTCTTACAATTCCTAACAGCCTCAGGCCCCTTCCTTTTCCCCTCAGCCACTTAGAAATTGTGGGAGTTGAAGTCCAAAACACCCACAGGACCAAAGTTTGCCCATGCCTGATTTAGACGGTGGAGGAAGTATCTACAGATATTTATACGGGAAAGAGAATATGGCTAGCAATGTATTGAAAGTGTCTTAGAAAAAACATTTGCAAGTTGAGTATACCTTATCCAGAGTTCCATAATTCGAAATTGAAAATCGTCCACATGGATGGCTGGGATAGAGAGAAAACCTTGCTTTCTGATGGTTCGGTGTACAAAAACATGATTTTGCGCACAAAATTATTTAAAATCTCATGTATAAAATTGCCTGCGGGTATGCGTATAGAAAAAGTAAATGAATTTTTTTGTGTAGGCATGGGTCCTATCTCCAAGGTATCTCATTACCTTGAGAAGCCAGACTTGGACACGATGGTCCACTCTCTTGTTACATCTCATATAGACTACCACAATGCACTCTACGTGGGATTGCCTTTGAAGACTGTTCGGAAGCTTCAAGTACTGTAGTAGAATGGGCAGCAGCCAGATTGCTAACTGGAGCAGTGTACAGGGAGCACACAACCTCCCTGTTACATCAGCTCCACGGGCTGCCAGTCTGCTACCAAGCACAATTATAAGTGCTGGCTTTAGCCTATAAATTCCTGAATGGTTCCAGCCCAGCTTACCTGTCCAAACGCATCTCCCCCTATGAAACAGGATAAATCTGTTATGTTTATGTTTTGATGTGGCATCGAATTGTGCCAAACCGTAAACCACTCTGAGTCCCCTTTGGGGTAAGATAGGGCAAGATAGAAATATGGTAAATAAATAAACACAAGTATTCCAAAATCCAAAATATGGAAAACTTCTGGTTCCAAGGATAAGGTTATTCAACCGGCATCATGATGTATTCTGATCTCACTTGTACTTGAAAAGCTTAATTATGTGTATTCATTTTTAAACAGATAAATAGGTAATGTTTTTCCCTTATGCTCCTTGTTTCTCCAGATGGTGAAAACCCTCCAAGAAGCCATATGAACGAAGGGGGTTACAACACACCAGTTCATCACACTGTGATTAAAACGGAAAGCTCTGTAATAAAGTCTGGAGTAAGACCAGAAGGGAATGCCAATGAGGATTATGTATCACCCCCGAAATATAAAAGCAGCTTGTTGAATCGCTATCTGAATGACTCATTGAGGCATGTCATGGCCACAAACGCTGCCATGATGGAAAAAACAAGGCAACGGAACCATTCGGGATCATTTAGCTCCAATGAATTTGAAGAGGAACTGGTGTCTCCATCATCTTCGGAGACTGAAGGCAATTTTGTCTACCGGACAGGTAGGGCGTCACTTCAAAAGCTGATGAGTCTTGTTCATTTATATAACTGGGAAATTGGGGCAGCCAGTGATGCTAATCTATTTTTCCTGATCTGCAAAATACCTGTGGCGCTTTCAGTGTGACAAGTAGTCGCTGTCTGATTAACAACCTAGAGAGGTAGGTCATAATTGCTGACTTTTTTGCAAATGGGTGAAAGGGAAAGACTTGCATCAATACTTTCCAAAAATCTATGGTTAACAAAATGTGAAACACACAACCAACTGGAGTGCATAGACCTGATGAAAATATGGTAGCTTCATGAAAGGTTATGAAGCCAGGATCAGTGCCAGTTTATTTGATTCACAGAGCCAGTGAATTATTCCTGCTGTATATATCTGTGCTCTGGAAAATTACAGACATCGACCACTGTTGGTATAGTACACAAATGATTTGAGGTCTACCACCAGGTTCTTAAAATAGTGTCTCAGCATCATTCTTGTTCAGTAATGGAAGTGCATGCAATCAATCCTAGTGTTGACTTTAAGCCTTTTAAAGCTATGCATTAGGTTTAGGTGACTAATGGTCATAGGCCAAAACCAGTTTTTCAAACAGAATCATTTGGCCCATAGTTCTCAGTCTCAAGACCCTTCCACGCAGCCCTATATCCCAGAATATCAAGGCAGAAAATCCCACAATTTCTTTGAACTGGGTTATCTGAGGGCCCTTTAAACAGCAATATAACCCAGCATATCAAGGCAGAAAATCCCACAATATCTGCTTTGAACTGGGTTATCTGAGTCCACACTGCCATATATTCCAGTTCAAAGCAGAAAATGTGGGGTTTTATTCAGCTGTGTGGAAGAACCTATAGTCCACACTCAGATAATGTGGGATTTCCTGCCTTGATATTATGGAATATAGGGCTGTGTGGAAGGGCCCTCAGAAAAAAGGAAAGGACAGGTTTGGATGTGCAGAATCAGTGGCATTGCAATAGACTATTTTGATGTAATAGTCCTTAGTCCACAGAGCGAACTCACTTCCCATAATAAGGACGTTTTTTCTGAACCTCAGTGGGAAATGTAATATGTATTGTGGACTATAGATATTCCACACTTTTGAGATCTGATTGGCTCATTTTCTCTACACCTCGGATCCCTTTGCCTTCTTCTTTGCTGCAACTTAAATATTAAACCATTTTATTTGGGATACGCTTTCATGGATTCCAGAAAACTACATCAGAGATGTGTTTATATATGTAGTCCTGACAGAGTGGGGAATGCAGTAAATATTTTCACAAAAGTTGTCATCACATTTATACCAAATAAAACTTGTTCATCTTTAAGTTAGCACAAGACTCTGTTCTGTTTTCCTCCATCAGAGTAATATGGCCAACACACCTTGAAATCCCTTATTGCATCTGCCCTCTCTCATAATAGTGCCAGCATTTGTATCTGCTCTGATAATCCTATCCAGCTTTTTTGGTCAATAGCTGGTTAATCAGCATGCAAACAGAATTTGGAGCTTCTTTGAGACTAATTGAGAGAAAGACGTTGGCAACATATGTTTTCGTAGACTAACTGCACTACATCAGATGTGTAAAGTGAAGTGCCTAGGGATATGCAATTAGAAAAAAAAATGGAATCTGGAACCTACTATTATCATCAAATACAGTCTTCCATTATTATAAAGAATTATTTATTTATTTGACTTATATTTCACCTTGTTACCGAATGGGAGCAATGAAAATCATGGTGAAAAACATAAAGAAAGGGAGGGAGAAAGACAGAGATGAAACCTGCTACCTTCAGCTATATAAGGTTTTGTGCTTGCTGTCTGCAAGGAGGTTGCCCAGGGGACACCTGGTTGTTATAACATCCTGTGAGAGTCTTCTCTCATGTCCCCGCATGAGAAGCTGGAGCTGACAGACAGAGCTCACCCTGCTCCCCAGATTTGAACCGCCGACCTTTCAGACAGCAGTCCTGCTTTCACAAGAGTTTAACCCATTGTACCACCGGGGGTTCCTAGCTATATAGGTGGGGCAGGTAGAATGAAGGAGGCATGGGAGTGGATGAAATCAAGCCTGAGAATCATCAGTGTATCAATGTGGGGGAAAGAAATATACTAAGCAATAGGGCAGAAGGACCTAACTTTCTGTTTTTATCTTTCTTGCCCCCTTGTGGCATCTAGTCCTCCCTTGGAAGCACTGTTGCGTTTATTTTAACTTCCAATGGTAATGTAAGACTTCCAGCTCGGTGTCGTATCCGGATGTGCAGATTAAGCTAGAATTTATTTTAAAGCTTTGTGGTGCTGACTTCACAAAATGGGAATGGATTTGCTTCTGTACGAAAAAGGCTTTCCCTCTTCATTCTTTTTTCCCCATTCCCTGGCCTGGCCCTGCCAGTATATAGAATGAGGCATCAGCCGCAACCTAAAGACATGTGTTGTCATGAAATGAACGTAGATGGTTGTGTCAAGTTTAATTCATTGTACCATCAGGAAGAGAGGAAGGTGCTTGTAACCTTTGTCTGTCATAGGTGCCAAAATATAACATTTGTCCTTGATTATTATGTAACTTTACTTGCAAACAGGTGAGGTACTGCATGCACTTCTGTCTTGGGCATGTAAGGCCAGGATCACTCAGTGGATTTCCATGACTAAACAGGGGTTCAAATCTTGGTATCATGGAGTCTAAGTCCAAAGCCATTGGTTTTTAGTTCTAGCTTCTGTTTCCAAGTAAAGAACATTGTTGCTCTTAAATGCTATCATGTCATGTTCAACTTACGGCGAGCATATGAATGGGAGATCTCCAAGCCACCTTGTCATCAACAGGCCTACTCTATTCCTGCAGACTCATGGCTGTGGTTTTCATGATTGAGTCTATCCATCTGGAATGTGGTCTTCTTTTTCTTCTTCTGCGTTCTACCAAGATTTGAACCCCTATTTAGTCATGGAAACCCATTGAGTGGTGTTGGGCTTACTTGAGACTTACTTGCATGAAGCATGCTTAAGCGGCTGAGGGGGGGGGGGGGGGGAGAAAGGGCCTGGAGGCTGTTAGGAATGGTGGGAGTTGAAGTCCAAAACACCTGGAAGGCCCATGTTTGCCCATGCCTGTTTTAGACACAGTAATTCAGTTTTACTAGCAAACCAACTTTTTATAAGAGATATGGATGCATACATAAATTGTAATAAAGAAATGTATTGAGACACAAAATATCTCATGAAAACCTTTTATTTGTATTTTTAAAAATATGTGATATATTACTTACTTTACATAGACCCAAAGTTTTCTTCTAACGTTCATGCGACATACCTACACAGTGCAGCTAACACACGAACATGTCATGACACACAATTTGGAAAGCTCTGCTCTAAGTCTTTTGTGGGGATTCTCTGTATGCTTGTCTAGTAGTGAAAAACACTTGAACGGTTTGATTTATACTTCAAGAGTTCCCCACCTTCTGTTGGACATCCGCTTGAAGAGAAAACGATCACCCCTTTCCAAGCGAGCCTGGAGCTGAGGGAGCTGCTTGGGTTCAGTAATGTTTGGAGTTCTACAAAGTTTTTGCGTAGAGTAGGAGCTGTGGTTACATAGTTAATCTTTTCCAAGTGAAATCTCTTGGTTTTTGAATGCTATTTTTCAACATTCCAAGTGCATTTGGTCTACATTATGTGATAATCGTCTGCCAAAGTTGAGCTTTAAAACGAGTGTTGTTCGAATGAGCACACAGTAACTTAAGACATGTAAACTTCTGGTTTTCTATACTTATACAACTGGAATGTTAAAACGGGCATAATCTTAAGTAACAGAATTGTTCGTGGATTCTGCTTCTTGCCTGCCAGCATTTTAACTCTTAAATTGCAGGTGGGGAAGGCTCTTTTAGTAATCCAAAAGCAGCTGAACAATAGCCACCACTACATTAACAGGCTGGACGTTTGGAAAAACAAGCTAAAATGGTTACACAATCACACTAATCTCCCCATTTTTAATGGATGCAGAATTGTTCCTATTTAAATTGCAGTTAGACATACCTTTCATTACAGCAAGCTAAAAGCTGGGAACATTTAACCCTCTTGAACAGAGAAGGTAATTCTAGTCTCCCATAATCATATTTTGTTTCAGGGGTCCCACAAAGCTAGACCAACTAGCCAGGAATTCTGCAACACTGTCGTTTTGTATTCTTGCAAAACACACTACAACCTTTTCTTGTAGGTTTCCTACGGTGTTTTCTACAGACACAAAAATTCTATGCAGAATTCATTCTGACCTGCAAATATTCTCATCTGTTCGGGAATCTCCTTTTCCTATGGTTTTGACCATTTTCCCAAGTATTTTCCATAATTTTTCTATCCCTCACTCTTAAAGTGCATTCCAAGTAGTTTCCTTTCCAGTGGACAGATCAGATCTATACTTATTTATTTCCATCAACACTACAACTTTGGATTTGCTAGCACATTAAATTATCTGGACTCGGCATGGTTTCAGACAATGCTTTTATCATACCATTGCCTTGCTTCCATGGAAACTTCACAGGATCCAGTTCTCTGCGTGTAACCTTCCCTTGTCTTTTTTGCTGCTTCTTCCATCTTTTTTTTTACTATGGAAAATCTGCTAAGGAAAAAAAAGATGGAGCAACTACCTTCTAATTGATAGCGTGGGGAGCCTTCTGTCTGGAAACACTCTCAGTATAAAGGAGTTGTTTGGATGATGATTTACTGGCAAAGGGGGGAAATTTGAGTTTTCTTACAAGGTGAGCAAGTTCATGGTTTTGAGGAAAAGGGATTTGATATCAATGAAGTTTCGCTCACTCCATACACATGTGGATATTCTAAATGTGGTATGATTATGAATTTTCTCCTTGAACCTTTTATTTTCAATTTAAAATATTTTCATGGGACCTCCAAAGTGCATAATAAATCTGGGAGAAGTTTGCATTTTCTAAAACAATAACCAAATCCTGTGCCTATAATTCAAATGTGAACTTTTGCCTGAAAAATTCCAAATATTAGAAGACAGCCTATAT